CTGAAGAAATCTGGCTGCATCTGGGTGTTGGGCTGGTGGAACCGTGACCCAGTACATCCTTATGTAATGAGGAAGAAAGCTTAAAACAGCAGCCAAACTCATAAACTAATTAGTATCCTAAACCTCTTATTGCTTCAAATATCTCAGGCATGCAGACTTTTATAAACATTTCCAGGTAATTATAGAGCACAATGCTAAAATACTTGGAAAAAAACAAAATCCCCTGCCAAAAATGTGGTAAATTGTTGTCCCTTCTCTAGTCACTTTATGGTTCTGTTCAATTACTTTCTTTGATGTAAAAAATCTGCTCTAAGATAAATAAATAAATAAAAACGATCTCCATCCTGAGTGCTAGTGGCCTCGGAGATGCTGCCAGAAGGAGCCCGCTGCCCCACGGCCCCACTGCGGCGCTGCAGGGACCCCAGGCTGGGCTGCAGCCGGCGCCCGAGCGATGCTTGGGGCCGTGGAAACAGCGACGCGCAGCAGAAACGCATCCAACTGCACTAACACGGTGACAGTCGTGAACAGGGGGACCCTCTTCTGCCCTTAGAAGAAGCTAAAAGTAGAGACAGCAGTAAGTAAAAAAAAAAAATGAAGATAAAAGTGTTTTTTTTAATTGATACAGTCATAGGTTCAGGAAATGACAGAACTATTCTAGCTCATAATATTTGTCTGAATACAAAGATTGTAGCATTTTTGAGCCATTACTTTACATAGGAAATATGAGCTGTTCTGCTAATTCTGTTGTTTTCCAACTTGCAGAGATCCTGCCTTCTTCCAAAATCTTGCCAGGGCTCACAAATGCCAAGAAACTGTCTGTGCAGTTGAAGTTTGTCTGTTTGCACAGCCCAGTCCCTCTGTGTTTCATGGAAAACTTCCAAGATCTCCTCCCTTTTTATGTTGTTAGAAAAATACGGGTATTCACTTTATCCAGCGGTGTTTTTGTAAGCTCACACCACTTTTGGTGGGACAATAAAACACACAGTTCTTGAGAACAGAAGGGTTCTTTTCAGGAATGGCTTTTTGGCCTAGAAGCAGTAACTAACTAAAACTAGGGCATCATTCCCTACAAGCTCCCTGCCACCCTTTCTCCAAGGTATGGACCTTCTTCTTAACATCAGTGGTATAAGAATTCTTTGAACTCTTATTACTTGTGGACAAGCACACTCACCAGTTGGTGTCGCTGAGTATGGTCAGAACCTCATCCATAAGGGCAGGATCAACCACGTCGCTGTAGGTTATCAGCATTTCATAAATCTGACTGGCAGTTGTTTTCCTTACCTGCAGAGAAAGGGGCAGAGGAGGTTTTGCTGCAGCCCTGCACGGGGAGGCGCCGGCGCCGCTCCGCGCTCCTGCAGACCCTCCCTGCAGGCTCTGCCCCAAAAAAAAATCTGCGGCGTAATCCCTGCTGCCACGAGAGCTGTTTGCACTAGCCTTCTGCATAATTTCAGCTAAAGAGGGCAACAGAAACATGAGAGCATTTATTACTGCTTTAGATGCAACTTGTGATGATTGTGGCTGAAAATACTGTGTTCTACCAGGATACTTTGAAAGTGCCTCACAGCACTTTGATCTTTTCATTTCAGTGGGAACCAGCTTTTGGCTGCAATGGCTGCAGATATCCTTCAGCAGCTCTATCAGTTTGTTTACTCTGAAATAATCCTACTCTCTTCTAACGTCCTCTCAGGCCAAGTCACAATTTCAGTGACAGCACCAGCACATTTAGAGCCCCAGTGAAGAATAAGCATCACTATTTGACTGTTCTTGCTCAGTATGTTCCAGCAGACTAGATGAAACCCTACTAAGTTACCTGCTTGCAAATTGAAACCATCTTTGAATGTGAACCAGCATTTGTCAAAGCTTTTTTTTTCTCGTTAGATAGTAGTCATCAATCACTGCTACCTGGCAACTGCTTTTCTGACCTTACAGCAAAGTTTGTGCTGTTACTCAGGAGGCAGAAACATTGAAGTATGTAAGTGAGTTACTGTTACCCAAGTGCTGAGGAGTATTATAGCATTAGCCATTTGCTTCTCCAACCCATTCTGTGTGCAGAGAGCGCTGCTGACCTGGCCTTACAGACAATCTCGTAAAAAGAGCGTATGGATGAATCTTAGCTTATCATGGCTTATAGATAATAATTTAAAAAAGAGTCAATTATGGATTCATATGGGTGAATCTGTCACCTGCGTGGCCCTACAAATGGGCACTTCCATTCACATTGGTACTTGCCTCCAGACTGAGGAAGAAGGGGATGAGGCTGAGAAAAGCACATTTTCCAAAGCTTTTGTTTTTCACATCTGTCCCTCACGAGGAATGATTTATTAAAATGTCTGAGAACAGCCCAACAGGAGCATTCAGCATCCTGCAGTGCCTCGCTGGGGCAGCGTCTGGCTCTAACTTTGGTTGCTGTAGAGCTAGTTAGGCCGGCTCGGGAGAACAGAAGCATCAGCAAAACGTTAACTGTTGGGAGGCAGACAGTGATGCAAAAGCAAAATTAGTTTTCTGGACCAGAAGTTGTCCAGAAGTGTCCAGAAGTATCTTCCCCAGAGCACTGTTTAGTAGTGATGCTGCTGTATCTACAGAGACAGCTGCCTCGGCTCATTTCTTACACATAAAAAGACACTAAAGAAAAGACAGCAAAATTACAACACAAGCAAATTTTGATTTCATTTTTTCAGGAAATAAGATAGAGACAGCCTATTTCTGGAGTTCCAATGATATTTCAGTTTGACTCAGCCGTAAGAAACAGTATCTATTTATCACGTAAAACACCAACAGAGCACAAAATTGGAATAAACACTGCAGATTTAAAACTGTCCTGTCCTTGGCATCTCCTGCAAAATGTCCTTAGTGCAGTAAGTAAACACAACATGAAAATATTTGGACCAAAAATTGTTAAGTGTTGTTAATCACTGAACCTTGCTGTGTAGCACAGGATTTTCACCTGAGCTCAAAAGCAATGTTAGATGAAACAGTCTGGGTATGTACTGGCCAGACAGACATCTGATTACATTTCTCATGAACCAGAACTACTTGTGTGTTGCTACTGTCAGGCAGTAACTTCTCTTATGATAAAGGCCTTCAAGCCCTAAGTGGTGCAAAGATCCTCATGGTCTTCCATAAAAGCAGCAAACTGTTTACCTAAATAAACTCTAATTAAAAACTGTATGGACAGAAGGTGTAAAAACAATATGTGGAACAGCCAGCTATTCTGTCAGGATGCAGCAACCGGTTTCAGGTGGCAGCCTGGCAAGCAGGAAATGTCAAATAACCAACCCTTGAGATTAAAATACTACTAATAATTTATATACAATGTTTTCTGGTAAAAAGAATGCTGTTTTAATATATTTTTTTAAAGAATATTTTATATATTGCATTTTGGTAATCCAGCAAGTCTGCTCGGCAGTATATGTATATAAATATACCCAATACTTACTAAAGGAAAGGGATGGCAAAGAAGGATAAACAACTGAAATAAAACTTTCTCTCTCATGTCTCCTTGAAACTGAATCAGGCCACAAAACCTAGGGAGAAACAAGAAGATACAGGTCTAAGTGCCTGTTGGTCAACATTGCTCAAGTGCCTTCTGCAGAGCAGAACGAAGCCGTGCGGCAGCACGGGGCGGCCCCGCGGCGTCTCCGCTGCTCCGGCGGGTGCTGTGGGAAAGCAAACACGGACACCAGCCAGCGAAAGCCCTAAGGGCTGCTGCAGTGCACCGAGATGCCACCGTCTGTGCCAGACACCCACAGGGTGGTAAAACTCCTGATGGGCAGCACCAAAGGCTCCGAGCTAAAAATCACACTTGAAAGGAGCTGCCCCGCAGACCCGGGCGTGCTGTGGGCTTTCGTGTGATGCAGCTGAGACTGACGGGCAGATCAGAAATGGGGGATATTTTTCATTTTAGACTTCCTCAAACTCAATCTACTGCCAATAAAGAAAAGAAATTTATTTCACATACCATGCTTCTACCCAAATAATTTTGCCAGGTAGCTTTAGAAGAGTCTGTGAACCTTCATTCAGATTTTTGTCTCTCATTCCCATCCAATATTACATTTCCCTACTTTTCTGTTTTGACTGCTTTGCTTTCTGAACCGAGAATTTTTCCCTAGAGCCACATTGTAATTTTGCCAGCACTTTTTACCTCTTTCTGCTACACATACAAGAGCTGATCACATCTATGTATCCTTTGGGGATCTCACTCAAGTCAAGCTCTGCAGAAGCCAAACACTCTGTACCTTGCTGTGAATGCCCACAACATGGTAGAAGCTGCAAACTTTATGAAGCCTTCACACAATTTCACCCCCACCACCCAAAAGGAAGGCCTAAAACTCACACAACCTTATGTCACATGTATTTTTATGTATTTTTCACTTCTTTTTTTGTACTCAAAGGCCCTTGGTGTTTTATCTGGGCTGTACTAATGTTAAGTTTGCTTCACTCCTTACAAGCAGCCACAAAATGACATTATTTCATCAACTCACACTCCGATGCTGGAGCGAAGTTTCCGTATGTCTTTGGATTTTTTGATTTCTTCTTTACACAGAGCAAATAACTTCAGTGGAAATGGATGGCTGAAAAAGAGAAAGAAAAGGTATGAGAAATTGGATGTGAGCACACTTTCAAACACAGTTCATGACAAAACAAGGGGTATCTGTCCTTCTCCTGCCTCAGCACACCCTGCTTTGCCTTTGCAAAGGACCCAGGGTGGCTCTGGCTGCGTTCGGAGCGGGCAGACACTGTCACCAACAGCTGCGGCACCCGCACACCAAGGACAGTGCCACAGGCTGCCAGCACAGGGTCAGCTGTGTGGTTGTGCTAGTACAAGCGGAGGGGGTGGGACAGTCAGCTGGGTGGTTGTGCTAGTACAACCAGAGGGGGTGGGACGAGCTACACTGCACCTGGAAAGACAACGTTCTCCAACCAAACACAAATCATGTAAGTTCCACCATGCCTTCAGTAAATGAAGATGCTACTGTTTACAGCCCCGACTGTCTCCGTGATCGCAGACACCATGACTAAACACGGGTCGCAGCTCTGGTGAGGGGCTGAGTCCTGAAGCCATCGCTACCTGGATTTAGCAAGTTCCTTCCCCATCTTGGTCTGCGAAACGGGATTCTCACGGCTCTTTCCCAGACACTCATGCAAACACAAGTATCGTTAATATAGTCCAAGGGGCTATTAAGGAGAACTAAAGAGGAAATACTACTTTTATTTCAGGACTAATTATTTAATCTTTTACTCAACACACACCAAGCCAACCATCTGAAGTGTCATAGATGCAAACGAAACTATTTCTTGTTTGTTCAGCAAACCCAATCAACTTCTAGACTGCATATTTGGGAAATCTAGGTAAAGCAGAACACAAAAGCCCTAAGATTTATTCTCTGCTACCACGTTTCAAAGCTGTGACAATAAAGCATTCAAATAAAAAATAAATAATAATAAAAACACAAGTTGTGCAGTGTCATCTGTTTAAAAACAAAGCCTTTAAAACAAGAATTTGAGATGCTCCTAGCCATGACAAGATGTTTCGTGAAGTTTTCACAGTTGCTGTCGAGGCTCTATTGGAAACTCTGCAGAGCTGAGCGAGGCTTTCAGGACTGAAGACTCCAACAGGGGCTGATTTGAAACACCTTGACAAGACAGCGCGGGAGCCAAGTCCGCGTCCCCGCTGCTCCATGCGCTCCTTTGCGGAAAAGCCTGCGCCCACGGGCCAGCTCCGGGAGGAAAACCACGAGCAGGTCCGCGCGTGCCGAAGGTTTTCCATAGGCGGGTGACACGTCCCCTCCTCCCGACCCCAGGTGCACAGAGCCGGTTTATGGACAGCTCATCCGGACACCCGCGATGCAGCCGTGCCCGGCTCGCAGCGCGGCGACACCGCAGCGTCGGGGCCCTCTCGCCCTGGCTGCGCAGCAGAGAGGCTGAGGGGAACAGCAGCACCTGGAATACACTTGCTGCAGGGACCCGTATGTGCGGCATTACGGCCCCGCTCTCCTTTCCGGCATTAGTCCATGGCCCCGTCGCAGTGGCTACGGCTAAACCTACGTGTGGCTCCAGCAGCCCGGCCGTCCCGCAGAGGCGATTCCCTTCACGCACCCACCTCGGGGAAAGCGCCGCGGATCCACGGCCTGCGGGCTCCAGCGCAGGGCAGTGCACGGCCCCGCAGGGGAGGCCGTGGCGGGGAAGCAAACCAGGGTCCCCTCGCCACGAGCCCTCGCTGCACAAAGCTCTGCTAAATGTGGCTCTGGGCGCTCTGGGGCAGAAGAGGCAGGACAATGCACCCCAAGGGACACCTCCACGGGGCAGGAGTGACACCCTGTGGCAACGGGCATCAACAGGCACCTTGGGCTCCAGCAGTGTCGGGCTGATTCAGTCGAGAGCTGCTTATCCTGGTCAAATTAATCACTTCAGGGTATTACCTGCTCTGGAGAGCTAATGTCTCTTTAGAAAAAGAAGTCCAGGAGAGTGCACAATGCCCATTTTAAATTTCAAAAATTAATTTGCAAATAATTACTAAATATATACATTAAATATAACGTAGCAGCTAACTATCAAGCACTGGGTACAGGCGCAATCCCGGTGCTGAACCTGCTACCACCTAAATTCCCTTGCCAAGACTCCCCCACCCAAAATGGAGAAAAAAGACAAGAAAAAAGACACGGCAGCCCGATACTGCACGGAGTACAAGTGTTCCATGTGCAGCGTCCTGGAAAAGCTTCTTGTTTGCTCCAGGCCACGCAGCGGAGAGCAGCAATGAAGCAGCAGGAAAGCTGCTCCCAGCTCCCACTCGTGCACGGCCCGCAGCTCCCGGGACGCTCCACACGCCGCTTCTGCATCCTTAAGCCACAGGGCTTTGAAGCGAGCGTCAGTGACCCCTCGGGAGAAGAGGCTCTAAGTCACACATTTACTACTGCACTATTCTCAGGACCTTCACAGAATAAGGCTGTTTTTCCTCCCTTCCAGTTTCATGTTAGGTTTTCTGGATAAACTCCATGGTGGCACCCCTGGACCAAGCTGGAGTGTCCCTTGCAGAGCGAATGGGCTTGCAGTGACGCAGCCTCCTGCCCAGCCACCCGTGACGGGGGACACAGACTCCAGCGGGCGCTTACGGAATGGCAGAGGTGGGAAGGGACCTCTAGAGATCATCTAGTCCAAATCCTCATCATTTCTCAAATTTCCCCGTGGTGATGGCTGGAGCTGCGATGATACCGAGCCGAAAAAGTCTTACTGGCTCTGTCAAATGAACATTTAGTAACTGATTTCAAATTCCCATGCAAAAAGGGGCCACCGAGGCTGACTTAAGACGGGTTATCTAAACACACACTCGACAATAAGACTAGAATCGATTAAAACTTTTAGACTGATACATTTTTTTCAAGTTCATCTGCTGTGAGCAATTCTATTACGAGCAGATTTCACACCAACTCTCTGTGCTGGGGGAACACTCGCTGTACAGATCTGCAAGTGTCTACACACGTGCCCAGATGCTGCTTGCAGGACTTTGTGGAACACATTTTCATCTTAATTAAATTAAAAGCATTCTCGCCCGAAACATCGGCAAAAAAACACTTATTTCATCCTGGAATGCTTTATTCATGCTTATCCCTTCCTGAACTAAACACTTTCCAGAATACGAAACTTGGAAAAGCTGGGACGTGTCTTTGCTGTTCTTATTAGAACCTTAATTAACTTCTCTGGAGATAATTCACATTAGCAAAAGCAGGAGGATTTGGGAAGCGATAGCTCCTAGGCACAGTGTTTTGCAGCATTGCAGCAGAACACTACCACTGAAAAGGCTCACAGCACACGAACAGCATCCCCCAGAAAAGCCTGTTCCCTGGCATTTGGGAAGCTAGGAGGAGCCAACAGCCAAATGCATCTGAACCTGGCCCAAACCCACTAAGTGAAATATGTGAGTTGAATTTAATTACTTTACTGGTCATTAAGCAATGAACCAATAACCAACTTCTACACCGAGATCAGAGGCCAAGAACTTTGTCAAGACATTTTCAAGGCTCTTGGTCCAGAGTTTATCTTGGCTGTGCCACCGAACTGATGCAACTTCAGGAAAATTAAAACAAAACTGTGTATCACGTACACACATCCTTACCATAGAGGCTCCTGCACCCACATCTATAGCAACGTTCAGCAGCACGCATGTAAGATTTAAGAGGCCTGTTGCATACTGGAAAACAAACAAAAAAACCTCCTGGCAACTTACTTGTCCTGCGTGGTTAAGATTTCAAAACAGCCATTGGCCAGCATTTGGTCCAGCATCGTCAGGAGAGGTACAGACACCCTGATGAAAGCAAACAACTTAATGTAAATAAACTTCTTGGCATGGAGGTACACACTGTTTTAATTAGACACAACGAAAGAAACTTCCTATCTACCTACATATATTTAAATCAGAGCACTAGTTTACTCAGGGGAGAGTTGCTCAGTAACTTTTGTGTTGGCTAAATCAGCCTGGCTGGGTGAGAGAGGGACACAGCATTACAGCCAAAAAGAGAAAACAAACGAGCAAAAAAACCCCTAACTAACAGCATGCCTGGCTTGAGCTTGCAGCATCCTGAAAACACAGCTAAAAGTGGTAGAAACTATGAATGCATTTTCTAGTATCTGCAAAATTATTTTCTAGTATCTGAGCAACATATTCCACTAAACGCATGAGAAGTTGCAAAACTTCACTGCAATATTTACCCAATGAACCAACACACAACGCGGCAGCTGGAATGGCCGAAGTCACGTTTTCTATTTCAAAGGCTGAGTCAAAAATTTAATAAAACAAAATTGAAATTCTGTTAACAGGTGTTTTTGTTATTGTTGTGGTTGTTTTTTTTTTCCCCCCTGAGAAATATGTTCTATTTTACATATGTTTGGTAAGTGAGGTTTAGAGAGCCATACCTCACCATTCAAACTGAGTCACCTTTAGAGAAGAACATTCACATCAGAACTAGGTTTCAAGCACACTGGAAGAAGCATTGCTTAAATGAAATGCAGATGGGACTAGACTACAAAGTATATTGCAATACATAATCCCCACTATTGCATTACATAAAATACTGATTCTCACCACACTGTGACAAATGTTAAGCTACAGTAAGCAGAAAATACTCTACCATCATTCCTTTATTATTCAAGAGCAGCAAGCAAACTGTACTAAAGCCAGGGTGGGTGGTTCAGGCATCCTTTGGCTTGGTAGGTTGGGAAAGACCTGGCCCCTATATCTGACTTCGAATAGTCACTCTGTTAAAGAAAGAAGCAGAACAAACCCCTACCGGTCGTTGTGCAGGTTGTCCTCGAAGACCCTGAGCAAGGTCTCGCAGAAGCTCTCGACAGCGCCGGGGTCGCTCTGGACTTTCTTCATGTGGTCGAACAGGCTCTGTGCCGAGTAGCGGAGCTGCGGAGGGGAGGGCAGCTGAGGGGCAGGCCGGGCACCGCCGCCCGCGCCCTTTCTCGGGATCTTTTTTTTCATCCTTTTTAAGTTGGCCACTGTAGCAAGGAAAGACCACGTTAAAGATTTGTTATTTTCCATCTTTCAAAATAAAACAACCCCAAACCACTATTATCATCCTGCTTTGCTTTAACCAGTCACACCATTATGGCTGGGAGGGCTGGGGCGCGGAACAGCCCACGAGGTGATACTGCTTCAACAACCTGCTGCAAGGGCAGGGCACGGGCAGGCTCTGGGGCGCGCGGCGCTCCCGGCAGGCCGCACAAAGCAGCAGTGAGCTCAGACTGAAAGCCAGAAACACCTCGGAATAAGGGCTCTTGGTTTGAGTTCATTCTATCAGTCGGCTACTCCGAGATGTGGGAAGGAGCTTCCATGCCCGCGTTCCCGGTCCCGCGGGAAGCAGGCGATTTGGCTCCGGCTCCGCCTGCTGCTGCTGCAGCCCCGGCTTCGCAGGGCCGTGCAGGCAAAGATGGGGCAAATGAATTTTCAAGGGTCAACTTCCTTCACGCTGGTTGCAAGTGCCCAGTAGTTTTCTGTAAAGCGTTTCTGGGTGCAAAGAGCAATGAACACATGAGCCGCCAATGAAAACACAAAACGAGTCTTCAAAAGCTTTAGCCTGCTTATAAATAACAGCAATTTGTTCTGCATGGGTTAGAAGCACAGGCCAGTCGTTCAACAATTTGCTCTGTGCTGAAATACATTGGGCAAGGCAGAAGCAGAAACGTTTCTGTAAATAGTCAAGCAGTTTAAATAAATTATTTGCATAGTCTGCATTTCACAACAGTCGAGCCTCAGTAAAAATCATTTCAATATTTGCAAACTCCAGCTGCACTACAACGAAATGCTGAATCAAACCAAGTGTGGTTCTTTCATGAGCCAAAAGTAATTCTGTCTGTGCACTGAACATAAGCTGCATCCTTACACTTGAAGGTCTTCATAGGAGGTACAATTAGAAGGAAGAGAAACTAAGTATTTAATATTTAATTATGCTTGATTATTTCATACTATCTTTTTTTTTAAAAAATATGCATTTAAGACCATTCTGAATAACAAAGAAATATTTTTTCTTAATACCAACAGAGCTCAACTAGAAACAGAAGATTGCCCCATGTCAAGGCTCAGAAGAGACCTTGGAACATTGGTGTTTAATCCTGAATCTTTCAATCCCACATCTCCAGACTTCCACAGCCCTTTATGGTTCTCTCCCATCATTTTCCAAAGACTGCTTAATTCTTCAGTGCTTTTCCTGCAGATTCAAAAGATTAAAAAGGCAAGAAGGGGCATGAAAGGAACTGGCGAGCTAATATCTCCTGCACACAGAGAAAGCTGAGCAAAAGCAAGACAAAGTAGCAAAATAATAGGAAAAGCTGTATAACGAGGGCAGCATTTCTTCATTAGCAACTACTGAGATGCTGTTTAAGTAACCTGGTGATGTGAATCTCACTGGGCTGTCTGCTACAAAAATCCAGAGCTTTATTGTAAGACTGGGCATGAAATGGGACTGTGCGCAAATCTCCCATGGGGGTGGCACTGTCTTAGTTCATCCACTGCTAAAGATCGTAAAGACTGGAGATTTCTAGTAATACTGACAAAATAGGGAGCAAAAGCGTTCATTTAAAAAAAAAAAAGAAAAATCAAATAATCTTTATGTCTGCAATATAAAGAATCCTCTGTGCCCTGTCGTACACAGGGGATTCCACATTTCCTTTGCTACTTGGAGAAGTGGATAATAGTCTTACTAACTCTCAAAAAAATGGCCTTACCCAAGAAAGCAGCCAGATCAAAAGGTTCTACAAGAGAACAGGGTCATTTTTGGGGACAGACCCCACACATAGTTGCTCAGCAAATTTAAAACCAGGACATTTTCCAAATAGCCAGTACAGACCCGCTGATGTTACCAGAACAAACCCTAACACAACAAGATAATGCAAGACAAACAAGTTAAATCTGTATTTCTTCTTCAGGTGGACACTCCCTGTTCTCCCAAATAACATCTGAGCATCATATCTGAGCTATAACCCTCGACTGCTCATGAGTGTTTGCAGAGAAGACCATTTTCAGTTTTTTTCCCCATCTATGCAAGAGTGCAGAATTCCCACTTTATCACACGAGCAACATTTACCTTTCCCTGGGGCTGCATGAGGACTGGGAAAGGAAATTAGGAGGTTAATGGCTTGGAACAGACAGCTTTGGATAAGAATTTGAGAGGAGGCCCGAGAATGACCTTGTTCTTATTAAACAGTAAAACCAGAGTTTGCCAAGGCTTGAAACACTTAGGCCAATAGTAGGTGTTTCAGTGAGAGGCAACACATGGTATGGGGGACAGCATTCAAAGGAACCATCCATCTGATGATAAAATTACAAAAACCCTCAGGAACAAACCTCCGGAATCAGGAGAAACACATGAACGAGCCTCTTCAGAAGTGCAATGTATCTCTAGATGGGTGGACACTGTTTAAATAAGGAGTGGAGCAAGACAGGAAAGGGAACAACTGCACTGGACGTGGTCTGCAGATCAACGACCCCTCCTGATGGCCATCAGCCTCACATCTAACCTGCGTTTCCTCAGAGCCCTTGGTAGCTTCAGGACCAACAGAAACACCCGTCGGCTTCAGAACGCAGGGAAGGGAAGAACGTTTTCCAAGAAGCCAAAAGGCAGGATGGGAAGCGGGCAAACAGCCGCTCTGCTCACCTGCAGGGCCTGCTCATGGGCCTGGGAATCTCGGCTCTAAACAGGAGGAAGTCTACAAGGTTGGGCCATAGACCTGGGCTTCTCCTGCAGCAAAGATCTCCTAATTAGGTCAAGCACTCTCTGAAGTGACCTGAGGGAAATCCTGGAAGTTTTGCGATGTAACCAGATGAAATAACCAGCGTAAAGCTGCTGTTAAACCATTCCTAGTGCAGAGCTCGAGAGGCCAGCAGACGCTGCGGTGCCTCTCGGCCACGGATGGCACCAGGGACTGACCCACTCCAGCCATCGTGCCCCAAACTGCAGGATTCAGGCAGTCACCATCGTGCCTACCCCACCACAAGCAAAAGTCCAGTGAGTAACTACTGAAACAGCTTAAACAAAATGAGCATTTTTGCATACAGGTAATTGCTAAAGGAGACGGTGCTGATAGAAGCTTTCAACAGAGAAAGACCTCCTTGCAGATCTGCAACACTCACGTTAACATGCGGAGGACAAAGGCACACTGAGATGATGCTACGCTCAATAAAAAACACAGGTTTTGGATCATTTCAAGTCCTGACAAATTTACAGCACTGAAGTGGCAGTAGCTTATTTTCCCAAAACTTTAAAAAAATGCATATATTTTAAGGTTTAGCACAAGTGAAACCATGTCTCCCTTGTTCTGCTCGCAACACTCCTTTTCAGGTCAGGTCTTTGGAGGCCAATACCTCTAGGCTTCAAGTCAGTGGTATTTTACGTAAAGCAGGAATATAACAACTCAGGCCATTGCTTTTTTCTTAAAGATGAATGCCAGAAATTATTCTCAAATGTAGTTTGCTTGCAAACTTGTCAGCTGAGGTGGTGGGCCTGCTCCACATAGGAATTCATTTCCATACAACTAGCCACACTAACTGAGTGTTTTAGAACTTTATGTTCTTCTCATTTTTCACATTATATCTATGAATGTTGATTTGTAACAACTAATGCAACTGTTTAACACACATTTGTTTTCTCCAAACAGTACAGAAAGGCAGGAGTCTACCAGGCAAGTGGAAAAGCAGTTCTGAGGAGCCACCCACTTGGCACACGGAGAGCGTACGGCAGAGGCTTTTGGTTTTGGAACAGGACTGAACATATGCAATGACTCATATGGAAGTGGCTACTATAAGTTGTTACAGTTCTTCGACATATTATTCTAGAATAGTTTTATTGACCGTTAATTTTCAAAATAGCAGGTTTTTTAAAAAGATTTTACCTATAATTGCTATAATATTTTAAATATAATTTTCACTTTATGAGGGGTTGGAAATCACAGGGCATTCTGCGTTTTAACAAAATTTGATCCAGTTGAACAGTCAGGAAATTATATCAAATAGTTTGCTTAAAAATATAGGGCTTGTGAACTGCAAAAAGAACCGCTTTATACTTCTGATCTTTGACTACTGAGAGGATTTTTTATTAGGCAGCTGTAAGAAATATGCATTGCTGCAGTCCAGTTTTATAATTAGAAGATTCTTTTATACAAAGAAAGCCCCCTTTGAACCAGAGGAATGTAGCAGAATGCCAGATCCTGAACGGAATGACATCTTCTGCTTTTCCAGATTACTTGCAGCGCTCCAGCTCGGATGTGTTCAGCGGCCAGGCTGCCACCAAAGCGTCTCCAAGTCGCTCCATACAGCCCTTTCGGCAAAGCTCTCGAAAAAGCCAAACAAAGGGATATTTTTGCTATATTTACTGCTGAGGAATGCTGGTGAGGGGAGACTGGCTGCCCCCGCAGAGCCACGGGGCCCCGCGGGAGCTCAGCACAAACCCCCATCTGCGCCCTCCCGCGTGCAAGAGGAGCTCCTGACCAGCACATCCACGTGTGCATTTACATGGACACAACTTTTAAGAGATAGAGGGAAGAAAGGAGAGATCACAAAACATAACAGTTTATTGCAAGAACACAGCTGAATCATCTTTTTCTTTATCCAAATTCTCAAAAATATGCTTCTTTCATTTGGATTTAATAGAAAGGGTGCCTAACATTTTCATTTAATGTTTAAATCAGTCCCTGGAGGCAGCAAACCACACTTTGGGCTTTGTTAGAATAGTCTGAAACATAAGTCATTATAAGAGACATGAATCCTAATTTGAATATCACATTTTTAACATTAAATTGAATTTGCCCCATACTGTATAATCCAAGCCCAAGTGTCCATACTAGAAGCCTCCCTTGCACTTCTGTCTGGCTCAGAAGAGAATTAGGCCCCTTTCTTTTTAAAGCCAAATCCCTTGAGAATATTTTAACAGGAAGAAGCTTTTAGCATTAGAGAAACACGCAGGGTCACAAAAAGTTAACACGTCAAAATCATATTTTGAAAACGTTACAGAGGGTTTTCCTTAAATGTGCTGGCAGATGGTAACAAGGCAAGGGAGCTAGAAGCAACTGCACTGTTTACAGTTTTCAAAAATCAAGGACAAGCAGAACATTAAAAAAAAGATACGAAAATGTTGAACCTTTTCCTGTGACCTCAGTTAGCAGCCAGAATGTCTGTCCCTCCACAACCTTCCTCCCCTTTTGTGCTTATAAGGATAACGTTGGCTTTGGAGGAGCCCCCTATAATTAGCTGTTTGACTAAAACTTGGATTTCATCTGCATGTCTGCTATTGAAAAAGAAGTCTGCAAGAGTTGCATCATCCATGCAATATGCACTGTCACAAAGCGGTACGTATATGTTTTTAAACTCTTGAAATGGTCTTTGCTACATAATTATTTGTCAGTTTAGAAATATTACATTGGAGGAACAAGTCTCAGAATTGGTTTAAACATATGAGATTGCACAGCAGCCTAATCCACAGTGACAGAAAACCAAAAGGCACATGGAAATATTTTGTTAGAAGCACAGAACCTGGGGCACCTATGGCACCCAAGATGGCACTTGGACATATTCTGAACAGCAGACAGTAAGACTGAAAATGGGAGACAAACTGAATGACTTCCTCCTTCCTTCTGCAACTTGTTTTGGCTCACAAACAGAAAAAAAAGCTGGATTTCCTACCACATTTCCACCAGCATTCTTAATCTTAATTAGGGACAGAAATCCCAATTAGAAACACCCTTAAAGACTCCTTGGGTGCCGGCTTATGTTTTAGACCATCAAAGTCTGTTACGGCATCTTGGCAATTTGAAGACTTACAATCCAAAATTGTCTAATATTTCTCTGCAGTATCACTTCAAACTATGTCCTTACCCCAATACACTTTTGCATATACAGCATATCTTTGACTACATCAAATAACTAAATTCTTAGAAGTCAAACATCTCAAACCCAAGAATTCTGGTAACAAGAGGACAGGCTGTAAGAGACGGCTAAGTTAAACAAAACAAAGTCTCAAAGATAATGAGCAGCACAACAGTCTATTACAGACTGTGATTAAGACATTGTCCGTATATAGAAGAATAAAATAAAGACCATGAACCTCAAAAACATTCAGACAACTAAATGGTAGCTCCTTGTAATGTACCTTTTGGTACTGCTTGGCTCCCTTTTAAAGAAATCACATCGACAGCTCTCAAGTAGAAAAAAACCCAGAAATTTCAAAGCATACTGTCAATATGCATTAGCACATATGAATTAACTATTTGGATCTACTGGGAGAAAAGAAAGCAAAAGAAAGCAAAAGAAGAGAAGAGGACAGAAATCTAAGCGCTCTGGTCAACAATTTTACCAGGGTAACGTGTTTCCCGACCCGGCTGCAAGGACACTCCGCTTTCTTACCGTTGTCTCTGTTAATCCCCCAACAGACACGGTGAGGCCCAGGAGCACGTGGTACTGGTACACGGGCAAAGCCAGGAGCTGCGTGATGCGAGGAAACGCTTCTGCGGAGGCATTCCAGTTGAGAGTCCCTGCCTCTGCCCTGGGGAAAGCGAGGGCAGAAGCGCTTGGTGCGGCTGGCACGTCTGCACGGCCCCAGCACACGGCCTCCCCCGACGCCAGGAAAGTCTCTGTCCTTCCTACAAGTCAAATTGCTCACTGCTCTTTAAGCTTATGGGGAAAACTCAAGAACTTTAGCCTTGCTGCTCAAATACAGGAAAGTCTCTAGACCTGTTTCAGGCCAATCATCTCCACGTGGAGACAAGTTCTCCCTCCAGCACGCCAGGCCCAGCTCTCCCACACCCAGCTGATAAAGAGGGTTTTTTTTTCCCCAGCAGAGATCATGCAGCAGCCTAGCAGGCAGAGCACTTTGGAGGTACAGAAGTTAAGACTGTGCTGCAAGAAAAAACAAACGGGGAAATGAAACTGCATCTTCTCCATCCCGGTTGGGTGTTAGAGTCACCATTCGGAAATGAGTTGCTCTCACTTGCCTCTCTTCAACTTTAACTAGAAATTCCAGCTTTGGAAACTTGCAGCAAGTAGGGTTTGACTTAAAACTACTCAATTCAGTAAAAATTTGCCATTCAATCTGCATTTTACTGAAGAGAAAAAATAAATCAGAAAGGGGGACTCCCATTAAATTCAAGCTCTCACATTATGAGAAGAAAATGAGATTATAAAGCAGACCTTTCACAAGCAGCACAATTACAAAACCCAGCTCCCAGCTGACCTGTCTCACCTATGGCCTCCCATATATCTAGCGCTACAGAATCTCTACCAAGTCAAGAGTTTCACAAAACCTGCAGGGATTCAGTACCTTCAAAACATCCATCCTCAGCAAGCACAGCCGAAACTGGCCAGTGGGGCTGACTCCAAGAAAGGCCTTTTCTTTTCACTAGTTCAGGATATTTTCTTTAACAGCTTACCTTGGGAATATCCTCTCTAGTTCTTCTCGATGAGGTATGTGTGGAATTGGAGGACGGTCAAAATGTAGAAGAGTAAGGAACACAGATCCTGCATGAGCTCGGAATTTATCAATTTTCTCAGCTGCCTGTTGGGCCAGCCAGCACATAATCTGCCTGCAACTACAAAGAAGAAAACAAGCGAAATATATAATTACATCTACATTTTTCAAATGATAACACTATCAGAAATATCCTACTACAAAATTATTGTAATGAGTAGTGCATCATAAGGCACCTGAAGTATCTTCAGGGCTCTGGCTTCTAACAAAAGAAGTCATGACATAAATATTGCACAGTATTTATTTTCTACATACCACCTTTAATATATAAAGACTATTAATAGATAGGAAAAAATGCTATATTTAAGATGGAAATACAGCAGGAACCTTGAGAAAATTGCATATTCAAAGAAAACTGTACACATACCAGTGGTGAAGATCCATCCCAAATGAGTCACACTCTCACCTTTTGCCAGTTTTTAACCATTTCCTGTTTTGTTCACACTTATATCTAAATTCTCAGCTGCAAAATACCTGCCCAACAGGCCCTTTAAACCCTCTGACAGCACAACTAACAGCAGCAGCAAATGTTAGCATTCCTCCAGTTACAGCAAGATCCGGAATATTTAGCAAGCCTGACCTTCTGTGTTTGCCTCCTGGCAGCAGGAA